TTCTACAAGTGGAAACACAATATTTAGAAGCCTAGTATTCAAGATAACAGTTTCACATAGATTGGGGAAACTAAAGTTATGTTTAGCCTTTTTCTTCCCAGTGGTGGGGATGAAATGTATGCTAGGCAGTGTTGTACCCCTTGGGCTGTGTTTAGCATTTTTCTCCCCAGTGTTGGGGATGAAATGTACACTAGGCAGTGTTGTACCCCTTGGGCTGTGTTTAGCATTTTTCTCCCCAGTGGTGGGGATGAAATGTACACTAGGCAGTGTTGTACCCCTTGGGCTGTGTTTAGCATTTTTCTCCCCAGTGGTGGGGATGAAATGTACACTAGGCAGTGTTGTACCCCTTTGTCCATGACAAATTTCAATTATCATGCTTTCAAGGTTAAACATAGTCATAAACATTGTAGCATGTTTCAGTATTCCATTCTTTCTTATGGATGACTAATATTATGTGGATATATTATGTTTGTGTACCTATCTGTCGATGGTCACTTAGGTCATGCTCACTTTGGTAATCATGATTACTATGACTCATGCCACTGTTAACATTTATGTATTTATGTACATGTACTTGTAAGGCTATGTTTTTGTCTGGCATGCACTCACCAGTTGGGATTTTTGTTTTGTTTTTTGTTTTTCGAGACAGGGTTTCTCTGCGTAGCTTTGCGCCTTTCCTGGAGCTCACTTGGTAGCCCAGGCTGGCCTCGAACTCACAGAGATCCGCTTGGCTCTGCCTCCCAAGGGTTGGGATTAAAGGCGTGAGCCACCACCGCCCGGCAGTTGGGATTTTAATAGACACATAAACATCACTCCTATCAATCTTTTTGGGGTGATTTAGTTTCTCTAATCTATGTGGTAAGACAATCTTGAATGGTAGTCTTCTAAAGGAGAAAAAGATTTCAACTCTTCCAGAATTCTGGTAGTATGTGTGCTAAATCAACCCTCAATGGCAAACGCTAGCTAGCTAGCTATTTCTCAGTTTCTATCCCTCTCTCTGAATTTAAGAACAGATTCTTGCTTTATTGGGGGACACAGTGCACCTGAATATAGAATTTTCCAGTCTCTCTTGCAAAAAAAAAAAAAAGTTAGGAATGAATAAACAGGAGTCACTGGACCGTTTCAAGGAAATTCCTTTAAAGGGAGATAAGTCAGTTGGGAGTAGGCAATATCCTTATAAGGGCCCCTCTTTTTAGATATCTGAAACATAGATATTATAACCACAGTTACAGCAATCATCTTGTGTTCAAGAGAAGCTCCTTGAAGATCCTAAGGATGGCAGACCTGGACTTCTATGTGATGGGAAAATACACCTTTTTCAGTTAGTAGCTCACTTATAGCTTAAGTGGTAAGATTTCATAAGTCCCTTCTGCACAGCAACTATATCTGATCATTTAATCTTAAATAATCTATGATTCAGATTTTTCTAGTTTTATTAGTATTCATATTTCTGCCTCTAGTGTAATTTTTAAGACAAAAAAGCAGACGTTTATGTATAACATAAAGACTGAATGCATATTTCTTTCCCGGGCCCTGGGAAGCATAAGAAAGCAGGCTGAGCAAGCAATGGAAAGCAACCTAGTAAGCAGCATTTCTCCATGGCTTCTGGTTCAGTTCTTGCTTCCAGGTTGCTGCCTTGAGTTCTTGCCCTGGCTTCCCTCAGAAATGAACTATAACATAAAAGCTGAAATAAACCCCTTCTTCCTGCAAGCTGATTTTGGTCAATGGTCCTCCCCCCTCCCCGCCACGGCAATAGAGGGCCAAACTAGAACATGTACCAAACATGTGTCTCAAACTACTCCATAAAATAGAAAGCACAGAAGGATATGTACTGAACTCTTTCTATAAACCAAGTATTACCTAATACCAAAACTAAATAAAGACAACAACAATAAAAAAATACAATCTCCCTGATAAATATAGCTGCAAAAATTATAAACAAAATACTTAGAAACTGAATTCCACACATCAAAGAGATCATTTGTTGATTTTAATACACAGCTGTAGGAATGGCTCAACATATGCAAATGAAAGAATGTAGTATTCCACACAAATGGACTCAGAAAGTACACAATCAAGAGGCTTTAATAAAATCTAGAAGGACTAGAAGGACTATATCACAACATAATAAAGGCTATGTATAATGTTATCATTGAAAGCATTTCTACTAAAATCAAAAAGATGACAAGGGGCTTCCACTCTCTACTCTTATTCAATAGTGGCTGAAGTCTTAGCTGGAACAAAAGGGGTGGAGGAAAAAGGGACACACACAGGAAAATAAGTTCAAGTATCCTTACTTGTAGATAATATGATAATGGTATACATAAGGGACCCTAAAGACTCCACCAGAAAGCACTTAAATCTGCTAAACACTTTTAGTAAAATGGAAGGATCCAAAATTAAGATGCAAAACCCAGCAGCCTTCTTATAGTCTAATAATAAATACACTGAAAAAGAAATCAGAAAAACATTCACAATTGCTTCAAAACAAACCATACCACAAGTTTTGAATAAATCTAACCAAAGAAATGCAAGGTATCTACAATGAAAAAATTTAAAACACTGGAGAAAGGAACTGAAGAACATACTTGAAGATAGAAAGACCTCCGTACTCACGGGCTGGCAGATTAATATTGTGAAAATGGCTACATGGTGAAATCTAGGTCCAGCTATTTTTTTTTTCTTTTTCCTTTCCCCCCATCTCTCTTTTTAGAGATTTGTTTGTTTAATATGCATGAGTGCTCTATCTGCATGTATATTTTATGCCAGAAGAGATCATCAGACCCCACTATAGATGGTCGTGAGCCACCATGTGGCTGCTGGGAATTGAACTCAGAACCTCTGGAAGAACAGCCAGTGCTCTTAATTGTTGAGCCATCTATCTCGTCAGCCCTCCTTTCCTCTCTTTTACAAATATTTCTTTTATTTTTGAGATTATAATATGATCACATTACTTCCCTCTTCCCTCCAAAACCTCCCACGTCTTCCTCCTTGCTCTCTTTCAAATCTATGGCCTCATTTTCCATTAATTATTGTCACATGCATATATGTATATGTGTGTATAAAATTTTCCCTAAATATAACCTGCGTGGTCTATATAATGTTAACTTGTATGCATGTTTTCAGGGCTGACCATATGGTATAGGAAGACTAACTGGTGTGCTATTCACTGGGTAAGACTATTTCTTCTGGTCTCAGCATTCCTTAGCTGCCTGCAGCTCTTTGTGTAGGGTTGAGGCCTTGTGGTGTCTTCCTCTGCCATGCCCCACCCCCCAACACACACTTTGGAACATCACTGTTGTTCTCCTTGTTCAGCTTATGTTTGGGCAGTCATGTTAATGAAATGTTACGGGTGTAGCTTCTGATCTTAATAAAAGACACACAATCACACAGAAAACTCCCTGATCCTTTGGCTCTTACCATCTTGATAGCTCTAAGAGGGCAGTAGTGGCATATACACCTTAACAGTAACCAACAGCTCTCTAACTGGACTTAAGACCACCCAACAAGATGGAAACTTGAAGAAGAACCAAAAACGACCACTTGACTAAACCATCATACTCCCTAGTTACGTTCTAAGTATTTGTCCTTATTCACAAGATAACCTTATCAAAGAAAACTCTTTGCAACAGACAGAGATCAATACAGAAAACCGCAACCAGTCAAATACAGACTTGTGGAGTTCAGTCTCAATGGGCACAGCTAGACAGACTTTTAAATGTCAATATTTTCTATGTAGTCCACAAATAAGATATGATAAAATTCAGTATGGAAACAATTCTAAAATAAAACTGCAAATTCTCTGCCTGACAAATCTATCATTTTAATTTGCTTCTGAGGAAGGTGACAGAAAACAGTGTCACTGACTAGAAAAAAAACTAACCGTAAATCCTCAAGTACAAATAAGAGTATCAAATATGAAAGACGGACAATTTTAAATCTATGTCTACTGCTTGCTTAACTCTGGACAAGTTCCTCAGCTTCAAAGTAAGGGCATTAACAGCCCAAGGGGTTGTGTTACCCAAAGCAGTGCCTGGGAAATGTTGGGTGCACATTGGGCATTCAGTAAACACTGGCGAGGGCAATGATTCGCTGACAGAGCAGCAACATTTCCAAAACTATGAATGTCGTGAGACACTAAGATGTGTCTGATGAGCACATACTCAATTATTTTAAGAGGATGTTCTCTTTAGTGAGTTAAACATGCAATGTTTACCAGGTTAGCAGTTCTAACTATTGAAATTCTTTCCAAAATGTGTCTTCTACAAGTAGCTATAAACTGCCAAGACTGGTTTTATATGCTACACACATAGAACACTATAGTAGCAAAGAGCATGGGTGCTGGAAAAATGCCCATGGGCAAGTATCATTTTTGCTATTTACAAACTGTATGATCTTGGACAACATTACTTAATTTCTCTGTGCATCAGATTCTTCATGTATAAGCATAAGAACATATTTATAAGTTTATTATGGAGACTGAGTAAGAAAATCATATGTATCCATTATGGTGTTCAACTTTTCCAAGCATCATCTCTGTTATTCCTTCGAGTTGATTGAAGAAAAAGAATTTACCTATAATCAGTAGAACTTGACTTTACAGAAACAGTATATTTGATTCTTAATATATATATATATATCCCCAAACTAACATTTATATGCATTTTACACTGGTTGACTACTGAACAAACATTTTGTACCTTGTCTCAATATGAGCAAGACAAAAAAGCAAACTTTTACTGGATCAGTCTAACATTAATACAAAGGTATAGCAGGTTCAAGAGCCTCATTAAAATCTACTTTATGCTAGGTATGGGGGTGCACATCTTTAATCCTAGCACTTGGGAAGCCAAGGCAGTTGGGTTTCTATAATTCAAGACCAACTTGGTTTATATAGCAAATTCTAGGTCAATTAGAGCAACATACTGAGACACTATCTCAAAAGAAGTAAATAATCCACTCCAGCATCTGATGTCTTTTAAAAACAAGTCATGTCCTACCTGTCATCTGCATTTCGAAGGGATGGAAGTCGAAAGCTTGTGTTTCTGTCAAGCTTTGACTGGCTTTTGGTCCTCTTGATGGAACCTTTCAGGCGCTTGCTGAAGAATCCCTAGAATGAAAAGGCAGAGTGGTGGGAGAGAGAACTACTCGGGAACCTTGCCTTCCACAATTTGCAAGTGCAAAAAGGGTTTAGATTCAAAAGGAAGGACTGGGACAGAATCTAGCTTTCAGTCTTTAACTTTATGAATGCTAGTTGTTTGAAACTTATTGGTAATGTAATGAAGGACTTTTTTCTACTGTGAAAAACAGAAAATTAAACTTGTTGATAGCAACAATCTTAGTTTTTATACTAGTTGTGGCAGAAAAAAACCCAGAAGTTTACGAAGACTTTTAAAACAGCAATAAAACAGACAAGCATACTGTTTTCTATGAAAATATCATCAGCAATTTCAATAGAAATGATACCTAATGATTTCTTAAACTAATGGAAATTAGGTGATTAGAACAGCATGTGCCAAGTCCCTGAAGTGGGAAGGTATTTGGTGTACTGGAGAAACTGAAGATACTGCTGGAGGAGGCTCGGGGAGAGTTAACTAAGTAGAACAAGGACTATATTGCTAATCTCCAAAGTGTTATTCAAATTTGGTCATACCTCTTTAGATACTGTTATTTATAAAATTAATTCAAATGCAGATAAATTATTTTACATGAAATATAGATCATCTATGAAATCATTTAAATACTGAGAAGTTAACTTACAGGTTCTGTGACCTCAAGCAGCACATCAAGCCGGCCCAAATTCCAGCATGGATGCGGAAGGGCCCATGAGGTCCCAACTCTAGTTAGCCAAGAAGCTAGAGGCAACTGAAGGCACTGACCGAAGCAGTGTTAGTTTTCTTCAAGGAAATGAGCCCTGCTAGGATGCCCATGCTCCAGGGGACAGCCATATACTGTGCAAAAACTGGCAGCACTAAGTGGACTCAGTAGGTTTGGGGAAAACAAAAAGAGTAGATCAAATTGGTAGTGAAATGTGGTGGTGCAGTTTTGGGAGGGAAGGGGTGGGGGTGGGCTTGATTGATTAAAATGCATTATGTATGAGATGCTCAGACAATACACTGAAAAAATGAACAAAGTACTGTACATTCTTTGGCATTCTCCTGCCACTTCCAACAAATCACAGAGAGCTTGTCATCGCCTCAAAAAAATGAGCATATAATAAAAAATTTGTTGCATAAATCCAAGAATGAATGAAGATGCTCACTATATGTAAGACATACAAAATAATGAGCTTCATTCTGGCACTGTTTTTATATATATATATGTTATTAGACCTTGTTTGCAATCATTCCCCTCCTTTTTCATCCTCTCTGTGCTCCTTGGCAATGTGGGCCTGCTCACCTGGCTCCCCCGCCCTCAGCCACCGCCACGCCCCTTTGCTTTCCTTTCACCTTAGTGCCTTCCCCCCTCTTCATCTCTTCTGACTCATTTTGGTTTGAAGTCTACTTCATCAGGAAACACAATAGCTATACCAACTTGGTTTGGGCGCATATTCACCTGCCAGATTGTTTCCTATCCTCTGGCTTTCAATCTTTACCAGTAAGCATGGTTCTTGGAGACAAAAGTAGTTAGATCTAGTTTTTAACCCAGCCTGTGTCTCTTTTTTGGTTTTTGAGGCTTTTACCTTTACCCTTAAGGTTATTATTGAGAGATGTTCACTAATTCTTGTAGTTTTGTTTGTTGATTTCTGGCTGGGTGGGTTAATGTTTGATCTTTATTTCTCCCCTGTAAGTATCTGTGGTTTGCTCTTTTTTGATCATTCCTTTAATGAAGCTGTTTCCATGCTCTTGTGATTAAGGCTTCACTCCTACCTCTTGTGTGTATAACATTCTTTTTTCTCGGCAGTGCTGGCTTGGTGGTCACAAACTGACTTAGTTTCTGCTGTTCTTGAAATAGTGATTTCTCCTTTAATTAAAAAAATAGCTTTCCTTGGCATGGCAATCTTGGTCAGAGATACCACTTTCAGGGCTTGAAATCTATCACTCCAAACTCCTTGGCATCTGGTTGCTGACGACAGATCTGTTCTTACTTTGGTGTTTCTGCCTTTGTAGGTGAGTTAGTGTTTTCCTCTTACATTAAGTTGAATATTTTTATAACATAAGGACTTGATCCACTCATGAGAGAAAGATGAAAAAAGTTACTTAATGATTAAAAAAAGTGTATGATATATTCAATTATTCTTGCTACCCAGAAGGGGAACTGTGGGTGTAGTTCAGCAGTTCAGGAGGTGTGAGGTCTTGAGTTCAATCACCAGTGCTAGAAACAACTAACTACACAAAATTTAAAAAGAAAATCAAAGAACATATAAAACTCCCCCAAATACCAGAGATGTAATCATCTAATCTATAGTTTAAATTTCAGCTTATCATAAAAGTAGTTATATATTTGAAGAAAAAGAAAAAGCCATCTTTAAAAATTCATGATTTTTACATGATTTACAAAGTAACAGACTACACCATATGCTGTTTAAGAGAGGTTCATATGAAATACAGACACCAGAGAACCAGGAGCAGCTACATTCATCTCAGACAGAAGAAAGAAGGTACTAAGATCAGCAAGGTAACTGAACAATAAAAAGGGAAATTTCCCCTGAAGACAACAAATTCATAGTCTGTTTAATAAGAGCATCAAAGAACACAGGGCAAAAACGATACAATTGATAGAAGATGACTGCACTGTACTGTTATTATTAGAAACTGTAACTGTTTGTTATCAGAAATGGACAGATCTTAGAGGCTGGAAGTCAGAGGTCATAGTTAAACTCAACACCACCATCAATCAATCATGATTGTGCTGTATAGTGCTGTACTAGCATCATGATGGAGAGTTGCCATTAGTTCTCATGGAGAGTTTGCTATTAGTGCTCAAGATAAATCTTTATTTACTATGTCTCATCAGAATGACCCCCTCATCAGTGGTTCTCAATCTCCCTAATGCTGCGACCCTTTAATACAGTTTCTCATGGTGTAGTCACTCCCAACCATAAAATTATTTTGTTGGAACTTTATGACTGTAATTTTGCTACTGTTATGAATTGTAATGTAAATACCTGATATGCAGGATATCTGTTATGTGACCCCCAAAGGAGTTGCAAACCACAGATTGAGAACTGCTACCTCATGTGCTCAGAAATGTATTCAGCAAGCAAGACTTAATGATAGTATTCTAGTTGGACTGTTAGGGCTGGATGAGATTCTGGCCAACGACCTGACCAAATATTAATATATTTATAATAAAAATATACTTATGCAGTTGACTGAAAAATGCTCTAATAGAATTTATTCATCTCGCCCTTGAGTTTTAACTTTTATTGACATTTATTTCACCATACTCCATACTGTAATATTTTATGTTTATTTCTTGTATAGAATTTTATTAGGTGTTATAAGGAAAATAAAGTTAAAATGAATGCAATTTTTGACTTAAAGGAATTTGTAATTTAATACAAGGTTTAGACACTACATATAAATATATACATAGCCTTATTAGAAGACTTGAAATGGCCGGGCGGTGGTGGCGCACGCCTTTACTCCCAGCACTCGGGAGGCAGAGGCAGGCGGATCTCTGTGAGTTCGAGGCCAGCCTGGTCTCCAAAGCGAGTTCCAGGAAAGGCGCAAAGCTACACAGAG